AAAGCAATCCCGAAAATATTGTGCACAGGAATACTTTGTTTTGGAATTGACTTCAAGGTTCCCAAAATTTCCTCTTCCGTCGGGTCACTAATGAGAGTCTCGTTCTCCCCACTCAAGATAATAGGCTCCAAACATGATAAGTCAGCTCATTGGTTTGGGCCCTTCTCTGACAAAAAATCTTGAAAATATCATACTGCCCCATTATGGACCTCTTCTGGCGAGCTTAAAACATCCCCGTTTGCAAGTTGCACGTCAACGATAAAAGAAGATTTCTTGTGATCCGCTTACTTTTCTTCACCTTCTGAGCCATCTTTATCTCTTCATATTTTTGCCAAGCTTCCAATTCAAGCTTAATTAAAATATAGTTTTCCTCCAACCTATATTGGTACCCCATTTGTAATTGATGCTATATAAATTCCATCCGGTCTTCCAGAGCTTTAATGGTATTCTCCACTTGTCAAAAAACATGCTTGTTCCATGATCTCAAGGCCACGTTCAATTTCTTTAGTTTTGTAGCCAGTCCAGGGGGCCCTGCTTGAGGTTCCTCGTCTTTCCATTGATCCACATGTTTTGGAATCTAAAAGAAGTAGGGCCATAATTTTCCATCTTCTTCTCAAAGTAGATAAGCATAGGGTGATGATCCGATGATTTCTTTGCTAGATACTCCATCTGAGTAGTAAAGACTGATTGTAAACAAGCACCATTTTGTAATTATAGGATCCAATCTTTCCCTGCTACATGTTAGACCATCATGATCATTGCACTAGGACATTCTTCAACCATTAAAGCTTAGCTTAGCTAGACAACAATTGTTTAGAAAAGAACTGAAGTCCTCCATGATCGTTTGAGACCTTGGGTTCCTACCAATTTTCTTCGAATCAATTCTGATCCTATTGAAATCACCCATTGCTAACCACGGTATATCGTTCCTTTGCCAATCCTCAAGTTCACTCTATAGCTTTTGCCTCTTAGCCTGAGTACATTTAGCATAGACGAAAGAGAGATATGTTGCCTCGCCATCTTTACTAAACAAACCAGCTGTGAGAGATTGGTTAGACATACTGTTAAGACTTGGGGTCCATCTTAATAAGGTCAACCTTATGGAGAAGTCCAAAATCTTTATAAATTGGTATTTATTTCGATATTAAACCGATGTTGGATAACACATTCCTTAACAGACCCCTTCAAGATGGTGACTCATTTGAGCAAACTAATTTTGAAATCTAAGGGATGGCTCTGATACTATATTAAGACTTGAGGTCCATCTTAATAAGGTCAACCTTATTAAGTGGAGAAGCACAAGATCTTTATAAATTTGTATTTATTTCAATATTAAACCGATGTGGGATAACACATACGAGCAACTTGTAGCAATAAACGGTCACACCAAAACACACAAATTTTACCTCTTGTCATTCATTTGAGCAGAAATTTGAAGCCTTAGCTGGTTGCCTACCTCAATAACCTTGTGTCACTTACAAAAGGTTTAGATATAGCTTCTTCTCCAATTAATTTTTCAATTGCTCCAACCAATTTCCAGCTTACCAAAGTGTTAATAATCAAAGTTTCAATCCAGCTATTAAATAAATAAATTATATATACCATTAAATATTTACAATTATATGGCATATATGTGACATAGATCAATGTCAAAACTTTTGGAAAATGTTTTACAAGTTCACCCCATTTTGTTTAGTTTATTGGTTAAGTACTTTTTCCTTTGAATCTTTTAAACGTCATTATTTGGAAAAATCCAAGTGTACAGACAAGTCATTGCCAGAAACATCACAGAAATCTCACATGGGGGTGGGCCCCATGTGAATATTTTATTCCAAAAAATAAATCATCTACCCCACCAATGTGTGTTATCTGTAGGAGATCTGTAAAAAAAATTATGTACATCTAGACTGGTCCTCATTATTTTCGTCTACAAAATTACTGGATGTGTTTGGTTAATATATTATTTTGAATCTAAAATGTGATATCTTTCATCACATGCGGATTTTTAATTGGTGATTGGTTAATATTTTTTTCGATAAATGTAAAATATATTGATAAAAAATCGTATACAAGTATATCGGGCATACCTGGTCAAATAAAGATCAAATACATATACAAGTATATTGAGTATATCCAGGCAAACAAAATGAAAAAAATGTACAAACGAGAAGATCTAGTGACCTAAAGCTAATGAATCAAAGTGAATCAAAACATGAGGATACGAAGAAAACATTACTTTGTCTACATGGGTTTTCATCTGTATAACAATGCTATCAACCTGCGATCTAAGATTCTCAAAAATCATCATGTTTCATATTGTCCATAAGAGGTAAACGGTGCTAGCAAGTGCAATATGCTTAACTTTCTTAGCCAAGACGTCTCCTTAGCCTCATTTTTAATCCATTTCAATGTAGCATAGACATAAAACGTCTAATGCTAAGCCATGCATGATCTTTCCCCAAACAAATGCAATGAACTACAAGTGAAAATAGGTGTTGTTCCGTCTCTATCGCAACTCCACAAAAACTGCAATTTCTGTCTATCTCCAAGTGCCCTAGTTTGTCCTTAGTTAACAACTTGGATTATCTCCTAGCCACAGGATCAAAACATGCTTAGGGGTGACAAACACATTCCAAATAGTTGCTGCCCCGACTATCCTTGACTCCTTCGATTTGAAAAATTATATGCAGCTACCATGTTGAAGCTATCCAATTCAACAGCTTGCCCTTTGTGACTTGGACAGCGTGTTCAAGCTGTTTAGTCTTGTCACTTATTTCCAGCAGCCTTTTAAATAGAGGAAAATCCTCTTTCCTTACTATGTACTCCCAAATATCAATCCCACGAGCCCCCAGGGCACATCTCCAAGTGGTAAAAGAAGGGGGGTGGAGAAATCCAGCCTTGCTTGAGGCTGCTGCGTCAAGGGTTCGAATCCTGAAATATGGATTTGGCTCTTGGGTAAGTGCAAGTGTACAAGCAGCCTTCCACCCTGTACCCTTGGAGGCATAACCTGCGATTTACCTCCCTCACGATGCGTGGTGGGGGACCCTTAAGGTTAGGGTTTAACCTTTTAAATATCAATCCCACGAAGAAAAATCTGATTTACCTACTTTATCCATAGGTGTCCTTCTTGCTATGAATGTTCTAAAAGGTTTTTCCAAGAAGTGCCAAGTTCCAACATTTCTAATTTTAAACACTCTTTCATCTCTCTCTCTCTCTCTCCATCGTATGTGTTATAAGAATTGATGTGAGTAAAACCATTTCATCATGCCCATATATATAGGTATAGGCTAGAGTAGCATATAAACCAAAACTTTGACTTGATAGAGCTAAATCTTGTTACAGAGGTCTATTCAAAATGTACTTTATTATTATCTTATTCAATAAACAAAGACCCCACTATCTCTATCCAAATACACGTGGCAACCATATATTAATCTCAAAAATCAAAACTAATAAATCATAAAAAAACAAACTTATCCATGTCTTCCAATGCCTTATTATAATCAGAAGTCATTGCAAGATTTGCTGTTATCACTCAATTTATTTCTCCCTCATGTGGTTGTCCCAAACTGATATGATTTGACTCTACAACCTAGGTTTGGGATTTTCTCATATTCTAATTTAAATGGATAACAATGAAGTAACTAGGAGTTTTAATTAGATAACAATTGGCCTTTTTATCCTAATCAAAAGTAAATAATTATCTACACGTGACTAACATATTATTTAAATTAATATTATTTACCAACAAAGGTTACATTCTTAGAACTATAATATCTTGTGCCTAACTTTACCAAATCAATTTTTTCTCGAGCATAAAATACATAATGAAATACGAGCTATCTAACGAGTATAATATTGACATACTTATCCTTGTTCTATCAAAATCCAATTATTTGACCCAATGAATATAAGAATTAATATATTTTTATCTTAGTCCCTCAACTTTCAAAATAATATAGAATAAATAAATTTTATACCAAAAAAAAATTTCAAGATGTTACACCTAAGACAAAGGTACCTTAGACTGTAAGTAATGGTCCACATCATTAATGAACTTTCATCGATATTTTACCAACCTTTTATGTTGGTTCCATTGTAATTGAATCATGCTATTTAGCACCTATAGTGCTAGAATACCATTTTAAATTATCACACTTGATAGATTTAACTAAATGAATTGTATGACATTGTATTTAAATGAATATATCATTTAATGCGATGCAGTTGCCACCTAGACCATGTTAGGCACCAGTAATGTTAACTATCATTAGTCACTGTAATGAAGTAGATGGGTTTTCTTTAGTACTCCATCGGAAGAATTAAAATTATTTATATATAATTTTCATAGTTTTTATTGATAATATGGTTTTTTGTTTTGTTTTTTTTTTTTTGAGGAATAAGGTATTTTCAGTTCCTATCTTTAAATTTAACAGAATTGTCTCTCTAAAAATTTCTAAAAAATAAACTTTTTACTCATTTGTTGTATTTCTCATACTACAACTTATGTCGAAAATCAACATAATAGCCCAAGCATCCCATATTACTTTGTACTCACATTTTCCAATTCTTTAATCTCGAGAATCATACCGAGCCCTTGTTTGATCCCCATTATTTGGTGTTAATAGATTTTGGAATAATGATTTTCAAGAAAATGTGTAGTTAAAATGTATGAAAAAATTTTGAGTTTACATGTTATCGAACTTATTCCAATTCTAAGCGGTCAGATCGAATCGATCCTAACTCTCTTATTGAATTACAGAATGTTTTATTGTGAGAATGTACGATTAAAAATGAAATTTAAAAAAATAAGTTAAAAAAAAGTGGGATCAAACAAGTGCTGAAATGTCCAATTTTTGCTCATCAAATTCCAACATTTTGTATTCCAAATAAAGTGATAAATATTTAGCCAATGTTATACCTTTCTTGAGAGGCAATGTTCTTATTTCCTTTTCTTTTCCTTCGAACTTTATGTCTAATCACACCCCATCTTACTCAATTTTACCTCTCTGCTAGAGCACTTTATTCTCTTTTTCTCAAATTGTCATCAAAGGTGAATGGAAAAACGGGTGTCAAAATATTATTGGTTAGTATACTTCCAAACTTGATATTTCAATACCTTCCACCAATCCCATCAAGCTCCACTTCTCTCCAGCCATGGATGCTGCTAGCACAGTAACAATCAATTGTCTCGCAAAATCAACTAACTTAACTACCTTAACCCCAATATGGCCTCAGACAATACCACAAATTTTGAATCTTAATTACTGTAACAATCCCAGCAATAAAAATGTTTCCTTATTTCTCAGGAGCTGCTCCACAAAACCAAACATCAATAGAGAAAATGAAACGGATGAAAATTTGACTGTTGAGCCCAGTTCACATTCAAGAACTCAAAAACAAGCCAAGCCCACTTCGATTCAATCCCTTTCTTCTTCAAATTCATCATTTTCGAGAGGTTTAGTCTTTGATTTGGGTACCAAGAATTCTTGGGATAGCCTTGAAGTTGGGTCGCCTGTGGTGAAAAGGTACCTAAGTGATGATGAAGAGAGGTGGTACATGTGGTACCATGGGAGATCTGGTGAAAACCCGGATTTTGAATCGATCGGATTGGCAGTTTCAAGCAATGGAATTCACTGGGAGAGAGGTGGAGGGGCTGTTAAATCAAGTGCTGATGTGGGGTTGGTGATGAATTGTAGTAAAGATTGGTGGGCATTTGATATACAGAGCATTAGGCCTTGTGAAATTGTGATTATGTCTAGTACAAAGGTCAGATCAAACAATGCTGTTTACTGGCTTTATTACACCGGAGTTAGCTCCGAATATGTCGAATTTTCAGATAATTCTTTGGAATTTAGTCTCAAGAATCCTGAGAGGGCACACATTGTTGGTGATTTTAGTAATGAAAATGAGGGCAAAAGCAAGATTTTGAAGTCATTGCCTGGTTTGGCAATGAGTCAAGATGGAAGGCACTGGGCTAGAATTGAGGGGGAGCATCATAGCGGAGCACTGTTTGATGTGGGATCAAATGGAGAGTGGGATTCTTTATTCATTGCCTCTCCACAGGTTGTTTATCATGGTAGTGGTGATCTTAGAATGTATTACCACTCATTCGATGCAGAAAGTGGACACTTTGCAGTTGGCATTGCCCGGTCCAGGGATGGAATGAGGTGGGTGAAATTGGGGAAAATTCTTGGAGGAGGTGCAAATGGTGCATTTGATGAGTGTGGGATAGTGAATCCTAAGGTCATTAGGAACAAGAAAAATGGGACATATTTGATGGTTTATGAAGGTGTTGCTGCTGAAGGTGAGAGGAGTATCGGATTCGCAGTATCTTCAGATGGATTGAAGCAATGGAGGAGGGTTCAAGATTTTCCATTGTTGAAGAAATCTCAAGAAAATGGATGGGATTGTGAAGGGGTGGGATCACCTTATTTAGTGCAAATGGATAGAGATTTAGATGAATGGAGATTATATTACAGAGGGATTGGCCAAGGGGGAAGAACAGGGATTGGATTGGCAATTTCCCAAGGAACTGAACTGAACAATTTCCAGAGATGGACAGGATTTCATTTTTGAGGCATATGTTCTAATATTTCTTGTCTATTTTGGTGATATTCATTTGTTCAATTCAGTAATTATGGGATTCTTTATCTATACTGGGTTAACATGATGGTACAAATGAATGTTACTTTTAGATTATCATGTGCTCGATTTTGATGATTTATAATTTAATTTACAGTTTACAAAAGGAAACAAAAGATGAAACATACATCATGTATCGACTATGTCCTCTCAAAGAGTGTTAAAATGCTGCGGAATAAGGTGTAACCTTTGATATAGAAGCACCGATTCATCTTGATTTCATTTATTTGAAGTGGCATTTCATCATATCAAAGTCTATAAATTGCAGAAGCATCTTTTAGTTTATCTATCAGACTCAAACTAGTGAAGAAATTGTTCGAATTATTTTTAGGATAATTATTTGACTTTATTGAATAATGTTAGAATAATGCTATTTAGCGTCACTGGGGTAATAACCTCAATCTATACAACTCTAATATGACATTAAATGATTAGCGGTCATTTATTTTTTTCTTTCATTTAGGTTATCACTTAATGCTACACGGACTGAAGTTATAATTCCAATGAAATTAAATAGTATTATTCATAATGTTATGGGCTACAAATTTATTTGGGTCATAGTGTGAGATTTTTTAAATCTTTTTATAAAAGACTCGTGAATTCAATTTCCCTATTATGTTTAAACTAGCCCTTTACTTGGATTGTATAACTCTAATATTAATTGGAATTAGGTTTCGTTACGTTTTCAACAGTGAAAACTACTTGTAAATCACATAGAAGTAAGGGTGTATCTGTCAAGTCATCACGAACCGCAGATATAATTGAAGATTCATTCATGAATTTTGGTGCTCGAACCTAATCCCGTGAGTCAAACTCAAGGGCAGAAAGGTGCGAGCTCAATCGGGTAAAAGTACCCACACACGATCCTGGACGGGGATGTCCCACGCTCGACCACTTGACCAAGTTCTCTATGCTCAACCACATGCTCGAATGCAAGTAGGGCCCAAACTCGACCATGGGCTTCCAAGTACAACCATTTTGTTTGAACCTCGAGCGTGGAATGATAGCAGTTTATCACAGAATCTGAGCGACATGATTTGCAATTAAGTAAAAAATTGAGGGCGACTGGTGCTAAAAAAAAGATAGAATGTAGATTAGTAATAGATTACAAAGGTTAGGGACGAAAATGCAAATTTCCATTTTTATCATTAGGGAGACCAAGAAGAATAAGAGAGGTTTAAGAACTGCAGCAATGGCAGATATCTCTTGAACACCTTAACACCCTCAAACCCTAGCTACACTCCCACCTCCGCAGAGCCCCACAACATGTCTTCCCCGAATTCCGAGGAATCCAAACCCGAAATACAGCCCGCCCACCAACCCAAAATCCAAGAAATTCCACAAGAAAAAGAAACAGCGACGGAACAAGTTTCAGAAGACTCAATTAATGAGGGGAATGGTATTGAAGAAGAGGAGGAGGAGGGAGAATGTGGATTTTGTTTATTCATGAAAGGGGGCGGCTGTAAAGACACATTTATAGAATGGGAGAAGTGTATTGAGGAGGGTGAGAAGAATAAAGAGGACATTGTGGAGAAGTGTTTTCAGGTAACTTCTGCTCTGAAGAAGTGTATGGAAGCTCATGCCGATTACTATGCCCCGATTTTGCAGGCGGAGAAGGCGTCTGAGGAGGAGGCTGCAAAGGAATTGGAGAAAGAGAGATTGAGTAGCAAGGAAGACGGTGGGGAAGAATCTGAGTTGCAAAATAATGAGGAAACTTTTGATAGGGCTGAGAAAAAGGAAGGATCTTGATTTGGGAGAATTGAGGAGATCGAGCTGTTTAGAATTCGTACGTTCATTTTACATATGGAAATTGTGAAGCTTTGGGAGAATGTTCTCGAGGTAAATTAAAGAAAAACAAGGGAGTTTCTTATAGAAAGTAGTAAATTTTTGAATAATTGTATCCTATACTAGATGGCATCCTTTCAATGTATGCTTTTAGGGTATTTGTTCAATGACATTTATGAGCCTGTCATCATATTTAAACTTTAAGAAAATATACGATGAGGTTTTTGAGCATGTGAGTTATGTTTTCTATGGCTTCGGTAATTTAGGTTATAAATTCAAGAGTGTTAAAAAATGCAATGATCTCATGTTGTGAAAGTGGAAAAATGGGATTGAGGAGATTTGTTGCATGTAAAAATAAGTTATTCAATTGAGGATGCTCTGCTGAATATGTAATTTATTCTTATTTTTTATGAAATCCAAATTGATGATTTAAGCGCTAGGCCAACTGGCCAAGGATAGTTTAATTGAAGTTGCTGATGTTCTATTGTAAATGTTGAATATAATGTATTTGGCCCCCATACTTTTTGTTTTTCAAACGTGGCGATCGGTTGTGATGTGGTGAGCTGCGGTTTCTTGGCGTTGAATCGAATTTGACAGACTATTTTTGTTTGGGTCATGGTTAATAGAAAGTTGAATCTAATCCTAAACACTATTTTTTTTTTCCCTTATGCTTTAATCTTTCAATTGGGAGCTATGCCAAGGCTTCTCAGAAATTATGTTGGGGCTGGATATTTCGTCTCACCTCCACGTCCAACTTTGACATATTAGTCTAGATATGAAAAGAGAAGATAAAGATTATGGGAATATGGTGATTACGGCTATAAACTTTGGAATATTATCATGTTTTTAGCAGGGTCTTTGACTAATCACCTTGATAATATTTTTAACAATGTATTAGGTGAATGTGCCAAAAGTCTTCTGGTATAATTCTTCAAGGATCATTACTTTGTCTTCGCTAATCTAGTATTCTCTGCATCCATCAATTGATAAAGCCTGGTAAGCTACTGTTAACTGCTAAACAAGGAGTAACAGAATAAGATGTGCTTGAACTTGATCAGTGTCTGCAACTTGAGGGGTGCGCACATTTGCATGGTCACACTTGTTGTTAAGAAGGGAGCTTGAGAATTAGTTTACAATTAAATTTAAAAAAAAAAAAAAAAAAAAAAAAAAAAAAAGGAATGCTAAAAGGTGGTAAATTTTGTTGTATTAGCGGTTGATCTAGAAGCCAACAACCATTCTTTTTATAGACAGTATGAGGTACTTATTTGCATGTTTGTACACAGTTCCATAGGAAAAAAAAAAAAATACTTAGTGCTTGTTTGATTTTGTTAAAAATAAATTTTTTAATAGATTTTGATAAAAGTTAATGAAATGTGTGGTTGAAAAGTTGATAAAAGTTGCGAATCCCATGAAATGTGTGGTTAAAATTAATTGTTGACTTTGACTCATATTTTTGTCATCCTTTAAAACAAAACCAAATAAAGTCTTAATAACGTGTGATTTGTGAAATGTTTTGAAAGAAGTATGGAACTCTGAGAAGATGATCTTCAATTTAAGGAAAAAGTGTCCCTTAATCCTGCAATACCGTGGTCAATTTGACGAAACATCTTTAAGACATTGGAAAAAGCAGTTACCAAATACCTTAAACTGGCCCGAAATTTTCAGTTGCCCTGATCTGTAACTGCTGAGATTGCTGCACTTCTGCATCTAAGAATTTTTATGCAAAAGGAATCTTTCTGCCTCATTCACAAATGTCAAGTTCTTTAACTTCCAAAAAATGAAATATCTGTAGACCATATTAGCGAAGAGGGTAAAGAATACTTTATTGAATTCAACTGGATAAAAAGTGTGGACGTGGTGTTATGGAAGATATCTGCTTTCAACTATTTTTTTGAATTATTATGTTGCTGAGCGTTGGTTACTATTTACTTGTGAGCATTTTATATATGTGCATGTAATATAATTGGTCTTTATGGAAAGATAAATTGTTTGTGGAGATTAGCTTATATCGGTTTTTTTCATTGTTGATTTTTAAAATTCTGTGTGAAGATTCTTTTCTGGCTCCATTACCATAACTTTCAGCCCTAGAAATTCCCCAGTTCAATTAATGATGCTGATTTTTAGGAAGCATTAATAATTAAACGTTAATTTCTCATTAGTATTCTCCAATTCGATATCCTATTCTTAATCTAATGATGCTATGTTATTAAGGGCTATTCCTTGTGCATTCATTGCCTATCACCAATATCCTGATTCTCCGTCATAACATTTATAAGCACATCTGCAGCATAAAATTCTGAGTTTCGGATGTGCAACTTGGTGGAATGTGGAGATGAATTTGGCATTTCTATAAAATTGTGTGTGTCGTGATTGTCAATCCGTTGCAGTGTCTTTAGACAGTTTTAGTGAGCAATTCATTTGTGACACTTGTCGTAATGAGGAAAACTCGTACTCTTGTACAAAGCATCATCAGTGCAAAATGTTATTCAAATTGGGATAGTTTGCATCTTCTTCTAGTGGTGTCAACTGTCAAAGTGGGTCAGACTGTGATCTGCCCACCTTTGAGGGCAGCCATGTACAGCTTGGCACTGTGGCCTACATGCTTGCGAGGGCCTCACAAAATTGTAGCTTATAGAGCTTGGACCAGGCCAGCTCAGGCCTGTTATTGAGTCATGCTGGGCTTGTCTTCAAGCAACAATCCTGTCCATTTAACACCCCTATCTTTGTGCGTATGCAAATCCAACTTCGTCCTGATCATCTCATATGCCGTTGCTCACAATTAGTTGGCTATTTTCCTCTAATGTTCAGCACACTAGCTTGACTGAATTAGACAAGATTAAAGAAGTGATACGGGATAATTTATCACCTAGTAGTTGTAGATGTTCATGAGGAATCAAAAAGCTACATTAAATCTGCAACAATACTTTTCCAATACTATACTACTAGAACTGTTATTGCACATCCAATTGCAAAGAGAAGCTGCATCTCTGAAATCTCAAAAGCCCAGAACTACAAGATCCACAAGAAAAAGAAACGGTGGAAGAAGTTTCAGAAAAAAGCAAATGATGAAGGGGAAGGTACTGAAGAAGAGAAGAGTGAAGGTGAGGTAAAGATATATTTACAGAATGGGAGAAGTTTTATTGAGGGTTAGAAGAATCCAGAGGATATTGTGGAGAATTTTTTTTTTTTTATTTATTATTATTATTATTTTTTTGCTTTGAAGAAGTGTATGGAAGTTCATGCTGATTACTATGATCCAATTTTGCAGGTTGAGAAGGCAGTTGAAGAGGAGGCTGCAAAGGAATTGGAGAAAAGAGAGAGAGATTGAGTAGCAAGGAAGGCGGTGGGGGGAAGAATCTTGGTCGTGAAAAAGGAGGAAACTTTTGATGGGGCTGAGCAAAAGGGAGGGTATTGATTTGGGAGAATTGAGGAGATCGGGCTGTTTAGATTCGTTGATTTTACAGATCAGAGAATGTTATTGAGGTAAATTAATCAAAAACTAGTGAGTTGCTGGTAGAAATTGGTATAATTCTGAATAATTTTATTTGATCTAAATGGACTTCTTTCAATGCATACTTTTGGGGTTTTCATTTGATGACATTTCTGAGCCGGTAATCATATTTTACACTTTACAAATATACATGTTGAGCATGTTTTCGAGCTTATGAGTTATGTCGTATGTGGCTTTGGTAATTTCGATTATTAATTAATAGAGATTAAAAGATGCAGTGCACTTATATTGTGAAAGTGGTAAAATGGGATTGAGGAGAACTGAAAATGTAGCATGTAAAAATAAGTTATTCGATTCAGGATGTTGAGCTGAATGTGGTTAGATTTTTTATGAAATCCGAAAAGGTGATTTAATTGGCAGGCCAAATCTAGTTTAATTGCAATTTTTTGAATTAATTGTGTATGTTCTAGAATAAATGTTGAATTTGGCAACCACATTTCTTATATAATAAGTTCGGAACTGATTGGGATTTAATAGGCTGTGTTATCTTGGCATGAATCGAATTTGACGGATTCTTCTTTGTTTGTTCATTTCATAGTTAATAGAAACTCCAAAGTTAAAGACATTTTTCGATCTAATTTGTTTCAGTCAGATTCTAAACACAATAGTTTCTTCCCATATGCTGGCTGCCATCTTCCAGTCAATGGCAATGCTGATGCTATTCTGCAATCTATGCAAGGGCTAAAGATCCTTCCCACCTCCATATCCGACTTTGAAAAACTCGAAAAGAATTGGAACAGAAAATTTATGGGAATTTGGAGAATATGCTATGGATATTACTATTGTTTTCTTACAAGGTCTTTGACTAATCTTCTTGATAATACTTTTAAAAACAGGTGTTTTGCCAATGTGGCTATAGGTAATTGTCTTCTGGTTGAATACTTCAAATCTTATAAATTTTATGTCTTCTGTGAATATTATATAAGTGGAGATAAACTGTTTTAGGATATTTGCCACTATCCTGCTTGGAGAAATTGAATGATCCTTTCAGAAAGTTGGAAGGGATAAGTGACTTGGAATCTGAAATCAAGAATAGTTTGAAAGATAATATATTGATTATCATTTAACCATAGCTGCTGTAGAACTTGTCGAAGATATTCTTCTAGCACCATTTCCATTACTTACAGGCATAGCAAGACCCCTACTTTGCTTCAGTTATTTGCAGTCTTCTCTACCAGTGATGTTGCTGAAGAGTATTATTAACTGTCTGATGCTATATTCATCTAGTTGAAGCATATCATTATCGTCGACTTAAGAGCATTTATAAAATGACCTATTTATTTATTTAAAGGCTTTGATTGAAATTTTTGTAGAGAAAAGTGTGGAGCATACCCTACTCGATCGGGTCAAGTTGATGAGAACTTTGTGTGTTATGTGGATGTTCTATTTATATGAGTGAGAGAGAGAGAGAGAGAGAGAGAGAGATCCATGTATTGTCTATTTATATATGTTCGATAAATCTACTAAAGTGGGTTCAAGGTTTCTTTTACGAACATCTTGAGTAGTTCACTAGATGAAAGAATGATTGAGGCTTTGTGCCATGATTCGAGGTTCCTGTTCTTCCATTGTCTTCACTTTATTCATTTAGAGCTGAATTGCCATGCTCAAGAAAGTTCACGTCTTTCTAGAGAAAAGAACAATGTTTACTTGATGTACGACTCTTTTTGCCTTGACAAAGCATTTAAATATGGTGTCTAGACATTACAAGTATACTAAAACATTATGTATCAACCTCGAATATTGTCGAGGTAACCCATCGCAAACCAGTCTACATTCCGCTTGAGTTTATCATCCATTTTTGCAAGAGTAATGCTATGTAGCAAGAGTCTACGTGGCAGTAGGGTCTACTGATTAATTATCCAATGAATGCATCCTAACTTTATTGGACATATAATCAGTGGACCTCTATGTTACATAAATCTAGATTGGTGCTACTCGTGAACATGCCTTCTTAAGGAGCATATCACAACTGTCTCTAAAGTCGAAAACTACAATTTTAATATAATAAATAATTTAACGTTCCTCAACTTAAATCCTGCTCACAAATCCTATAACTAGTTCTAACAGGTTGTTTGTCAATGATCAACGATGAATTACTCCGTACGAGACGAGACTGGACAAAATTACATGATAAATTTTATAATCTAGTACTTGCAGATGAACCAGGTCTTCATAAGGAACCAAATAGCTGCAGCATATCTCCAATAATTCTTTCTGAGTACTACTAGTACTTTTATTGCAAATCCAAGTTGAATCTAAAATGGATCCTACTCTAGAAACTACAATAAGATACACATATTAAAGAAGCTTCTTCTCAAAGAAGGACATCAAATGCCATATCTGCAGTCCTGCCACAGACAAGAAAATGGAAAGCGATAGAAAACTCAAACGTGACATTTTCGAGTTTGTTGATTTGTTAAGCTCCGGCATTTCTTCTTTCGTCAAGCAATCGTCGATAATATGTGGGAAATTGCATGTCAGCAATTTCATATAGAGAATTGACACGAGTTAGAAGGCTTTGTTAACTCACCTCTCACAAAGATAGAACATGTCATCGTGAATGCATATAACATTTTTGTACATGTTCTTCAGCTCTAAATCCATTAACCAGTGAGAAGAAAGATACGATCAAAAATTAAAAAAGAAAAAGAAACAAAAATAATGTAACTAGATGATTATACATTTTCAATGATGCAGGAGTTCTTAACAAACCACTAGTTAGTAGAAAAACATCAAATGTAACATCTGGAACTTGAAAAATAACATTACATTGAAATATTAATCCTTCTTATTGTACAGGTAGGGGTTCCGAACACACACAAGGGGCTGCTCCAAGTGAGTAAAAAAATTGGAAAAAAAAAAATACCCAACCCCACCCCACCCCATCCCATCCCATCCCATGTGAGTATTCTGTAATTGTTTTGTGAACAATTAGTTTGAACACGCAGACTTATTTATTAAATATTTATAAGAATAACGTTGACCTTATCTTAGAAATGGTTCACAACTGAGAAGCAAATACTCTTGTTTGATCTATTGAAAAGTGAAATGACATCAAATAGTTTCGCAAATTGCGTCAACCCATATTAACTAATTAAGGTGCTCGAGCAATACAACTCTCTCTAAATATTTCAGCAAATAGTCCTGTAACTTCAGGAGATGAGGTTCCTTCTTACAGTGATCAGGCTCGGACCACTGTGTAAAAAAAATTTAGGTCTTATTCTACCTCTCAATTCTAACACATTCAACTATATCGCTACATGAATTAAAACATCTTTCGGCACACACAAGCTATGGTATGATTACCTAAATGTCCTCCTCAAAATCTATCAACTACTGGCGTCACATGCACTTATTCGATTATGTCCTAACCTTTTCTAATTTTATCCATTATTCCCACACATGCATCTTACAATTATCATTTTTGACAGATTCATTTATTGGGCTTTTGGTCCTTCAATATGCCAACATTTAATTTTAACTTCATATATTTCTTGATCATATAGAATCTCTTTAGCATTTTTCCAGTCTTGTCCAACCCACACTCATCTTCTGCATTGAAGTCATCATTCCATATTCATAATGTAATATAAATACCTAAAATAGTCTGTCTTTAGTACAACTCGATACTCGATAGTACAAAAGAACAAGAAGAAATAGAAAACACAAGAATTTGTCCACGCGGTAATAAGAATTGCCAAATGCCCACGACAAAAAAATAGGCAATACAAGTTAAAACCAACCTACTTCACCAACCACGAGGACAAGAGAACACAAAAGCATGAAAAGAAAAATGTAGAACCCGGCAAAGATTAGACATAGTATTAGTATCCATTTAGATAGGCTTCAATAACCCTCGAGAATGTACATATAACCCTCTTTTGGTCTGATCCGAATTATTTTCAATTCTAAAATGAGTTGATTCTTAAACTATTAACTAGCTCGACGTTTTGTGAGAATCCGGTAAAGGGTGTCCCTCGTTAGGGTTAACAATGTGGTACTTTGCAAGTGTGAGTTGAGCTTCATTTCTCCAGTAAATAATGCATTTGGTTTGACCTGACTCAAGATCAAACTGGATCGACAAGACTGGGTTCTATATCAAGAATTCTGAAATTAAAACAAGATAAAGACAAAATGATCGATTATTTAATGTTAAATATATTCAGACCATAATTTTTAATAACTAAATTATATTTTAATTGTATGAAAGGTTCATAACCTTTAAATGTTATCACGTATATGTCTCAAACTTTTTTTCCGTCATATTCTTATTCTCAAATTAACATAAATTGTTACTGATTATAATTTTTCTCCAAAATTTTCTAAGACAGGGTAAAAAGATTCATTTGCCCATTGTATTTTTAAATAAGAAAAATAAGTAATAATGCAAAAATGTGATTAAATATTTTACCCTCATCTTAAAGCATGTTAACAATAGTTTTTAACAAAAATCATGATAAAGGACAAGATTTTCTAACAAATGAAATGTTAAAAATAAGAATACGATGAAGGGTAATGTTAAAAATATAAGTGTGATAATCAATAGACTCATATAACATCTAGAGGGCATTGGGTACCCATTTTTATGTAAAAATGCATTTTAGAATAGTAAATTGATGGGAAATGGGGGGTTGAAAAATAAGAAAAAATTGTTTATTTACGTGTATTATTATTTTAATAAAGAATGTGTAGTTGAAAAGAAGAGAGAAAAAAATACATTTTAAAAAAATGAGTGCCAAATGGGACCTTAATGTAAATGTGCTGTATTTATAAAGAATAATGTTACAGGTAAATTAATTTTTTAAAGGAAAAATTTTACAAACAACACATGGCGCAATATTATTGGAAGATTGGAAAAAAAAGAAAAAAGAAAAAAACATTTCATCATGTTTTGTCACATCAGTGTCGGTACAAGTTCTGTTAAAATTTCCCTGTACTCGTGACTTTGATTTATTAAAAGATTTGGCATGAATATAATCATCATTAATTTACTTTTTTTTTTCTTGTAAGCTGGGTGGATGTATAATTAATGGAGGTGCGTTTAGATTAGGAATATAGTGTTTCACAGAAAACGGGGTTTTGAAACTGAAAGATAGAGATCAAAGGAAAATGGAATTGAGTGTGAAGAGTCATATTCCGCGTAGGATTCTTTGATGTTTGTATAATATGAATCTATTTCGAGTTGACTCGAGTTTGAGGTGTCACTATCGCTCTTGATATGACTCGATTTTCAAGTGGTCGTTTTCTGAACATGTCAAATTAATATCATGTTTGAGCCCTATTTTTACAATAATGCATTTTTAACCACTCATTCTCCAAAAAATCACTATACCATAATACATTTTTCTCCAAAAATGGAGATCAAATAGGAGCTAAGTAATTCGAATTGTGTTGAACTTACGTTTTAAATTTCTTTTCGTTATTTATATTTATTTTAGAATTTATGTCTTGCAAAAATGAAGATTTTTTCCCCTTTTTTTTTACTTTTTCTATATGAAAAAGACCTTTTAAGTAGGAAATTTTAAATTGAGGACTAGGTTTGATTTCAATTCAAGAAGCTTTTTAAAAAGCCTTCTCTTACAATCAAATGGCCAAATGAGGGGGTAAATTTTTGATAACTAATCGAGCCATATCCTGTGAAGTTCAAAGTACATAAATAATCTTTATAACGTTGAAAAAACAGAAACAAAAAAAAAAAAAAACATTTTGAAAAAATGAAACTAGAATAAATTTTACAATATTGATTTTTTGAAGATTTTTTGGTCAAAAAGTAGGAAAATTATTGAGTTTGTGTGAGATTATTTTATTCAGAGAATGTATGATTCAAAATATAATATTTTAAAAAATGAAGTTCTAATAGCTCTTATTTGATAACTATTATTTTACAACTTTTTTTCCTCGTACTCATTTTCAACTGCACATTCACTTAACAAAATATTTTACAAGTAAAATCGAATTTTATCATTTTTTTTTCATTCTTCAAAAAAATTGCTATTCAAAACTTTCTTTTATCTTAATAATGATTGTCAAATAGAGGCTAAATATGTTAAGCCTAATTCAATTAAATAGCAATGATCACTTATCTTTCTTTAAATTAATATTGAAATAAGATTAAAGAAATATCCTCAATTGAGATTGTGATGAATTTTAAAAGTTCTTCTAAATTTGGGCGTTCTCAATTAAAATTTTCATAAATTTTAGATGTTTTCAATTGAGATTTTAATGGCATTCAGTAAAATTCTTTAAAATTTAGGTATCCTCAATAAGTAGTGGATCCATGATGACTTCATTAATAGATAAATTTTAAAATATTTGAATGGATTTCAAGCTTAAAATACATATAATTAAATCTTTAAAACTTTCACCATATTTAATTAGTAAGATTTATAATCGTATAAAATCTATCAAAATTTTAGTTGTGAACAACCCCGTAAATTCACACGAATAATCAACACCACAGTTTAAGTATCTACATCCATATATAAATTGCAATGGAGGTCTTCAATTGTTGATCATTTATATACTTATATCCTCAACTTTTTTCGTTTGCATGTTAATCATTAACCTTCAAACAAAATCATATCCTGTCTTAGATCAAGATTTTTATCTAATTTTTTACTAAAATGTATTGAAATTAGGGTCAATTATTTTGTCAAGCTTTTATTTTGTTTTATAATATTAATTATTTTAAAATATAAGAAACGAATAAGCCTAATAAATTTTATGGACGAAAACCTTCATTACATGCAATATATAAAAATTAAGAGAATCTTTGAGGATATAACTGTAATGGAAAAAAAGTTAGAAATATAATTGCAAAATTGAGCAAAGATTGAAGACGTTCAACGCAATTAAAACGAGTTTATTTTAACAAAAAAATTTGTTCCCATCGAGAATGGAGTATTCTGGAGCAACACCAAGAACGGAAATGAGATCGAAAAAAAATAAAAATAAATAAATAAATAAATACTCTCTCGCTCTCTCACACAGTCACACACACAGTTTCCTCTCCCATCATTATGCCACCGTTTTCACTCCAACACCAAATCAAGAACAATATTTAATTTTATCCCCCTGAAAAACAAGAAACATTTTTATTGATAATTGATATTTTTTCAATTTCATAAATTATATAATACTGGGAAAGTTTCTCCTCATTAATTTCTAACTAATTTCCCTCGTGAAATTCAACGCTCTCTCACCCACTTTTCTCTCCCTAGATTTCCCTTGGTTTCTGTCTCCCCCAATTCTTTAATTAGCCGATATTGCCAGTTTCTCAAAAATTCCTCACACTCAAATCACTCAATCTGTGTAAAGACTCAAATCTTTAATGAACCCACAAAATATATGTATGCATATTACATATATAGGTTGTAAATAATCAAGTTAATTCTTGGGGTGTGATTTGGGGTTGAGGAAAAATTGCCACCATTGCAGGGGCAGATGATACAGAGGACAAGAAGGTTACAAGTTTGGTTCATTAGGGTCTGTTCTGGCATTTTAGTGTGGGCATGTTTGCTTCAGCTTGTCTCCGTTGGGGAGCTTTGGCATCCCCGCTTGCTTACCGGATTAGCTGGCTCGACGAGAATGTGGGTTCGTGTTGAAGACCCGTTGCCGCCTTCGCCCCCACCCCTTGTTCCTGCCAGTGAGTAACCTCCTTTAGCTCAAATTGCTCTTGCTATTTTTTTAGTAGGCACTAGGCAGGATTAAATAGCATTAGAGAGTGTTAAGGAACGAAAAGAGCTAAAATCTTGTTAATTATACTATACAATCCTGTTTAATACTATTTACCTAACATGCACTTGTTTATAAGATGGTACATTTTTTACTACTTGGTGTTAGTTGTGATTGTGAATTTCTATCTTAGGAGCATTTTCTTTTCAAGGCAATATTTTTATGTTTTGAGTAGTGGAAGGATATTTGGAATGTAGAGTAATCGTTCTGAGTAAAGAATTCAAAAAGGAGGTGAAGCTAACGACAGGGTCCCTGTTGTGCTATTATGAGTGCTCTTTTAATTTTCCCTTGAGGTGATTAGAGATTATATATTTACGACTTCTATATTAGGTAGAAAGTCGAGACTGTATGTGATTTTCAGTTCAAAGTAGGTGAAGCTAGTGATAGCTATTGTGCTATTCTGAAGTTATTTTGTTTTGGCAAAGTTAAGTGTTGTATACTTAAAAGGAAAAAAAGTCGAATTAAGTGTGTTACCTGACATCTCAATAAAATGTGATTGCATCTTTGATATGACTATGGTGTTTGCTGTCCAATTAGTGATGTGCAAATTGATGCATTTCGATTTTATGTTGTCTATGAGCCTATTTCTTCTTACCTCAACTGGATAAAGTTGTAAAATGATCTTTGGTTTTGGGAATTTTAATGGAATTCTCACCTATTATTTTTTCTAGCATTTGTGAAGCCATGACCCAGGATTAGCATTCACATTTTCTTCTGTGATTATCTTTGTGAACTCTTCTCGTCCAAGTTTCCCTCTGCAAATAAATATAAATAAAGTTGAGAGACAAACATATTGACTTGTAAGAAGTTACCATTGAAACTTGACTTTCGCTGTTTTTAAGTAAACAAAAGAAATCATGTCAGCTATTGAGAAGCCTTAGAATTATTTTCCTGTCTTCTTTTGGATGCATTACACGCATAAGATAGTGTCACATTGAAATGAATTTATGAATGTACTTCTTGAACGCCATAATATTTTGCAGGGGAATACACAAGTAATGGTTTTCTCAAAGTCTCTTGCAATGGTGGCTTGAATCAAATGCGTGCTGCGGTTTGTATTTATTTTTTTGCTTATCCCTGTGTGAACTACTAATGTCTATGTTCACCCTGACTAATTTAGCTACCTACTTTTTAGATTTGTGACATGGTGACAATTGCTCGGCTTTTGAATCTTACTTTGGTTGTTCCAGAGCTTGATAAGACTTCTTTCTGGGCTGATCATAGGTATTTATTGCTGTGGAGAAGTATGGTCCATGTTTTTGTACTTAAGCATATATATAAATCTACATAGATAAAAGTTAAGTTGAGCTGTTTTTGGCATGCAGCAATTTTGAGGATATTTTTGATGTGAGACATTTCATTGATTCATTAAGAGATGAGGTTCGTATTATTAAGAGGTTGCCAAAGAGGTTTAGCCAGAGATATCAATATCAACCACTTGTAATGTCTCCTGTTAGCTGGTCGAATGAGAAATACTACTTACAACAGGTTTGTGTACATTTTTTTTTTTTTTTTTTAAAGATTGTCGTATCATGTACACAAGCATCTTGTGCATTCATTGGTGATTTCATAGGCAATGAATATTGTTGCTAAACTTTTTGTGCTGATGATAGAGGTTGTGACATGCATCAGAAATTAGACTATTTTGTTTAAAACCAAATCAATAAGAAAGATGCTCAGGTTCTTAGAAATTCAATAGGAATGAGTGCTTTTCTGTAATTCAACAACGTAATTTTGGAGAGCTAACAATGGAGTTCATCTATTTCTCATAAAAAAAAAAATAGGTCAACAACGTAATTTCGGAGAGCTGACAATGGAGTTCATCCGTTCCTTATAAAAAAAAATAGTTCTATAAAGTTTTTACAAAGTGGAAAAAAGGATTTAGGAGATGTATCTGAGAGCATCTCCAAGAGACCCTCCATTTTTAAAGTGCATATTCTATCATTTAAAGAGCATTTATAAATTTAGAGAGTTAAAATTTTGTAGTACTCCAGCAAGTTATTTATATTCATCACTAAATTTTACTACTCCTCAAAAATATTTATTATTTTTCTCTATCTTTTATTTTAACTAGCTTTTCAATAGATTATTTTATTGTTTTCCTACATTGATAATTGAAACACTTTGAATGCATTTAATTATAGAGAGTGGGTCTGGAACTTCTTATATTCAAAGAGTCTCTTGGAAATGCTCTGATTTGGATATGTTAGTCTTGGGTAGGCCTTTGCACTAAATACAGTTGGAAATTATTTTCTGATGCTTCAGAGTTGATTTTGCAGATTTTGCCTCTCTTCAGCAAGCATAAGGTGATTCACTTCAACAAAACAGATGCACGACTTGCAAACAATGGGATCCCTATTGAACTTCAGAGACTCAGATGTCGTGTCAATTTCCAGGAACTAAAATTTACACGTGAGATTGAGGCTCTAGGAAACAAGTTGGTTCATATTATTCAAGAGAAGGGTCCATATTTAGCATTGCATCTAAGATATGAGATGGACATGTTAGCTTTCTCAGGTTGTACTCGTGGCTGCACCGAAGAGGAAGCTGAGGAACTCAAACGGTTAAGGTAATTGATTGATGAAATTGAATCATCATTAAAAATGGATTTAATCGGATCATTTTATTTTATTTTTATTCCTTCATCATGACAATTCCAGGTTGTTTATATATCTTTCTATTGATATCAGTAAGTCCACACATCTGAATGTGTTCACGGACGTAAAAGATAGATTTTTAAGTTGCTTAAATTTTAAATTTTTTTCTGTAGTTAATGGATGCTATTGAAATTTCTTATTGTACAGATGAGATGTTGGATATGAAATATGAGGACTTACCCGCATTATCTCTAGATGAATGAAATGCGTGCACACACACAGCCATTTTTTCCCCTTTTCTTGCTTCCAGTTCAATGCTCGGACAATAGTAACTCCACTTAAAAGAAACCCCGTCAAACCAGCATTAAGGTTAACGTGATTAGAAATCCAATGAGGCTACCGACATAAACCATAATATTGGAGCTTTTGACTTACCCATGTTAATTTTTAGGGGTGCTAAATCTTAAATGATACACTTATTGAATTTTAGTATTCAAAAGCCATTGTTCTTGTGAAGTATATCTATTTAATTGCATGATCAAATACACTGAGGTTGCTACTTTTTCTGAAATGAGTGCATCCTGCAATTATTCTTAAGCTGTCATAGAACAGTTGCTAATTTTGAAGCTGAAACTTTATTAGGTTTTCAAAGGATCCCTAATTTATATGCCAGTCATTTGTAATATTAAGTAAATTTTAATCTGAACAATATCATTTTGGGCAAACAACATAATGAGAATGTTTTAACTATTTATTATAAATTGCTTAAAATTCAACTACATAATTCACTCAGGAACAAGAGCAACAAACATAAAATTTAATACAATGATGATGCTCAAATATAATGATTTTTCTATTCTATAGTTTGCAATGCTACAGTTTCATCTTTTACCTCTTTTGTCCTGCTAAAGGAAGTTGTTCAGTTTTCTTGCTTACATATTTCCTTTTACATTTCTTTACTTCATTGTTGGTTCAGGTATGCATTCCCTTGGTGGAGGGAGAAAGAGATAGTATCAGAACAGAGGAGATCTCAAGGCTTATGTCCTCTTACCCCTGAGGAAACGGCTTTGATTCTGCAGGCATTGGGTTTTGTTAACACGACACAGATCTATATTGCATCGGGTGAAATCTTTGGCACTGAACGGAGACTTGCAGCTCTAAGGGCCACCTTCCCAAGGATTGTGAGTGCTGCAACTTCATCCTTCTTTCTTCCTTCCTTTCCTTTATAATATTGGGTTTGGAGGAAGTCATTTAGCAGGTGGTGATCAATGATTTTCATATCTGGTGCAAGTATGTTTCCGGGGAACGGAATACCTTTTATTGGGCTGCTTGGATAAAAGGGAGCAATAGCTAACCACCTGACACGTGGTTACTTGCTTTATGGAATATGAGTAGTTTATTTATATTTAAATTCGTCTCCCAGCATATTCACCTGGGAGTCTTAGTGAGCTAGTTGTGGATGGACTATGGAGCTACCTTACGCCGGGTATGCCACTTCATCTAATTGGCTTTGCATAGTGAAAGGATGGGCTACAAAATGGGAAATGTTGTAGATGACTGACTTTGCATAGGATTTTAAATGACCCGTCAACCTGTTAAACTCGATGGTCATTTATTCTTCTTGTACTCATAGTTTCTATAAATGTCATTGTCATTGTTGTTTTAGGTGAAAAAGGAAATGCTGCTAGGTCCAGAAGATATACGGCTGTTCCGGAATCATTCATCACAAATGGCGGCCTTGGATTTTATGGTTTCTGTTGCCAGTAATACTTTTATTCCAACTTATGATGGGAACATGGCAAGAGTCGTGGAAGGTCATCGTAGGTATTATATACAAATGTTTATATGGCGTATTTTCTTATCTATATTGATTTACTAGCCAATGTTTGGTTGATATTTCTAATTCAATTTGTTCCAGGTACCTTGGATTTAAAAAAACCATCCATTTGGATCGGAAAAGGCTTGTAGAATTGTTGGATTTACATCAGAATGGGACTCTTTCCTGGAATGAGTTTTCAGTTGCAGTGCGACAGGTACATGAGAGAAAAATGGGACAGCCGGCTCGGCGTAGGATTGCTGACAAGCCTAAAGAAGAAGATTATTTCTATGCAAATCCTCGAGAGTGCTTCTGCAAGAGCACAAGTTGTGACGACTTACTAGGCCCTGGTAATACGACTACAGTAGAGCCTGATATGCCCCCCAAAAATGGGTTTAATGTAGACGTTTAGATTCCACATCTCGATGATACACACAGACACACAGTGATGAAGCGAAAGAAATCATGCCATGTTGAAAAGCTTTGCAGGAAACCCCAAAATTTCATCTGAAGTTGAAACATATGAATATGTGATCTTCACAGGAATGTTCTGTATGAAACAGCGGGAAAACAAATGAAAGAAACGAGGAAATTCAACTTAGAAGTTCCCCTTTTTGCCATTTAATGTCTTCATTCATATTTGTTCATATGTATTTGTTTTCTTCTGTTGTTTGAAAGTTTTTTCCTGTATTGTCACTTGATATCACAATTATTTACAAGGAAATTGCTTCATTGTTTCCATCATGAAAAGTTGTTAGATTTGCTCAAGATTTACCCTTATCCAATTGTAAAAAGTTCACATGATGAAGAAATAAATTCTCTCTACCTAGAGGGAAAGGGTTGAATTTCATTCTTTGAATGAATTGATATTTGTTCCTTGTTTCAACAGGATTTGTGAATTTGATTCACCTCCAGCCTATGAATTTGCCTGGCTAGTGCTCAAGTTAGACGAGCAGGGGCCAGAGGAGTGGAAGCTTTTGCAGTTGCTGTGTATCCTCTCCCTTACAATATCTAAACAAGATATAAATGCTAAAGTTATGGACGAGCATAGGTTTCTAATCCACCCGTGTAATTTGCTTAGAAGCTTGGGCTGGGGAGAAACACGACTTTTATACAAAAGGATGGCATGGCTTATCCAAGAAGGACAAAGGGCCGATGGGTTGCTCGCCTGACCTATCAGGTATGGCCAATTCCGAGGGTCCCATCTTTGTGTTGTTGTCCATGTAGGTCACACTGAGTAACAAAGTGTCTTCTGATATTTGATTGAATGTGTACGGATGTCTTAATCCATTTTTCGACCATGAAGTAAGACCAACCTGATGAGTAGCTATTTTAAGTTAGAAAAATTCTCCCTTTTCGTATACTTAAATATCCGAATGATTTATTCATTTGTTGAAAATTTGACTTTGAATTTAGTTAAGGTAGATCATTATTCAAGGTCGGACGATATTGCTCGGTATAAATAATGGATAAGATTTTAACTTATTTGTCTTCCTTAATTGTATATAGAAAGAAATTGATCTACAAGTGACCTTTTACCCTTTGTGATCACGATCCAATTATAACTGCCTTCTTCTCTCTGTCATGCAAAAGAAACAGGAATATTTGCAGAGTCAGTCATTCACAGCCATGGAAATCCACGGATCAAAATTTACAATTTACAAAGAATGGGAGACATTATCAGACAGGATATAGAAATTCTGAAGCTTTCAATGTGAATTCATGGCTGAACAAGAAAATTAAAGAACCTTCTGACTATGAGTTTCTCATACTGGGTTCTCAAACGACAGGTTAATTTCCTTTCAAGCATGGAAGTCAGAAATATTCCACAACCTCCAATTACCATCTGCATTCTGAGTCCTCAACTCCATGGACTCTCCTTTTCCAATATGACATTGCCATTGGACCTCAGCCAATTCGCCTAAATTTTGCTGGAATGCACTGTTTTATTTCCAATAAACCTGCCTTTAGAACTCCAAATTTTCTGTTTCCCTCCGAGAAAATTCCATACCCAAACGTTGTAGCATCAAATGGAGACTTGTTGCTGTTCTGATCAGGTGATTCTGTGTGTAATCTGTTTACTAGGCAATGTATTTGGTCGTTTGATTTTTCGAGAATGAATAGGGTCGTGAACAATTAATAAAGTAGTGTGCAAAATGTCGAACCCACAAGAACTAAGTATTCAATCGAGTTCAAATGAATAGCAACCTTAATCGAATAGCAAATAGATTTTGAATTTTTTATTATACTAATGTCTGAATTATTAATTAAACTAGAAAGCGATTTAATGGGTTTTTCAAAATATTTGAAAGTATTGTTAAGAAGTTGAATCCCCCTTATTAATTCATTTTTAGGACAAAAAATTAAAGTGACAGTTTATAGTCTTTCTTGTTGGTCAATGTTCCTAATTTAATTGAAAATCTCTTGATAGTTATCAAATCTATTCCTCTCCTCTCATGTGACATTCTTATCTCTCGGTGAAAGCTGTGAACATGATAAATGCATTAAACAGTTTAGAACAATAATGAAAATTATGTAAAGTATAGAGGTATATCTCTATCCCTTATCGGACTTTACAATGTTTATTATTTTTAGTTAAAACCTATTGTCTCTCTCGATAACAATGATCATCTCAATTAGTAGTCAATTAATTGAGAAGTCGGTGAAAATAATAATAAACATCCAAGAAAACATACATACTTGATATCAAAATAGTTAATCAATACCAAAAATCACATAACAATCATCTTGTCCTACAATGTTAAACTTTAGCCTAGCATGTTGAAATTACAATAAATCATCATCATCACCCAAAAATTGAATAATTGAAGAGAAATGATGGATTCTTAACATCTCTTGAATTTTCCGACCAATCATTGTGCAAATTTCCTGGTATGAAGTCTCATTGATAATCTTCTTGCAATTCTTGGTTGAAATCTCTCACAAATTTGATTTTTACCCTCTTCTTCAATATATTTCTCTCACAACTTTTAAGTTCTTAAGTTGTTTTGTTGCATAAAAGAGGATTTCTATGTGTATGGGATGTTCTGGTATATATATGACTCGAATCTATGTCAAACATATTGCCAAAAACCTTGTCAAGTTGAGTTTTAATCGTATAAGGAAATTTGAGATTCAGTCGAAATTTTGTACTATGGGATAGCATAGTGTTCTTGCATGCGACTGCATAGACTCTAAATTCGTCCCTGCATGGTTGAATGTGATCGCATTGATTTTGAATTATGCGACCGTATAGTTCAACACGCTTTCCATTTTGTGTACTTTGGTCCTCGTACTTCCACACGACGTATTTTTCTCCCTTTTTAACCTATGTTGAGCCCGCTTAACTTCTAAGTGCATCTAATTGAACTCCTAGCATCTTCAATCTCAGATTCATGGTCTGATTCAACTATTGGATTGTTGCAACTTTGTCCCCATCTTTGGATTTCGCTCTTTTTCTGGGTTTTCCTTTTGTTTCTTCCAATTCTTTGTTCAACTATTGAACTTTACCTATGTAACACAAAATATAACAATTTAGACTATATTTCATCATATGAGCAACTAAATATCAATGTTTAATACCATGAATAAGCGTATAAAATACACTTCTCAATGTCACACTTCTACCTCGTACCAAGAGAACGAAATAGGAGCCGCTCTGGATTCATCAGCCATTTTAGAAATGGAGTCATGAACTATAAGGTGGTTCGAAGTCACAATGGATGCAAAAGTTCACAAACTTCGATTCATTGTGAAATATATAGTTTTCTGCTGAGACCTTTTCGTGAAGAAATTCAAAGGTGATTCTATTGTACCACATTATCTAAAAGCTTAAGTTATTAGAGAGAAATAAACTTATTTATTTATATTATTGACATATATGAATGAGCTTACAAGTTAATTAAAAGTAACTATTTAAAAAGTATATCTTCATGTGCTTTTCAAGAAAGTTACTTCTGAGTATCAAGCAACTTTTAAGGTTAACTAAACATCGTTGCCAACTTCATTTACATGAAAGTCTCACAAATGCACAATTTCCATAGATAGGATGTCTGGCCTCTTTGATTATTGTGGCCGTGCATTGTTTTAAGTCTGACCTCTTTGATTATTGTGGCTGTGCATTGTTTTCAACAGTGTTGTTAATTGGATTCTTATCAATTAACAATCCTTTTAGCTTATTGTTCGTGTAATTTCGTAAGTGTACGTATCATGACAAACAGTGAAGTAAATTTTTAATTTCAAGTATCGTCACAGAGACTACTATCTACTATTGATTTATAAACTGACTTAGCTTCAACTCAAATTAAAATGGTAACCAATTATCAAATTAAAGTGTGTTTTGTAACTATAGTTTTACTAAACTAAACCAGGAAATCTAATGAACATGATTGAAAAGGTTATGAGATTAGGTAGGTAGGATTTTCGATTTCACTCGAGTTATAAAACATTCATCTAATCCTCATTCATTCAACCCCTTTTATATGTGCCAACAATCAAATTACTCTAATATAGTTAGTGATCTCTTTCGAGTAACACTAATTATATTCATATATTTGGAGAATGATGCTACTTGTGCATAAAGAGTTATATAATAGTTCACATAAGGATGAAGTGTGAAAAAGAAAGTGGAAATTTTTTTGGATTATACTATTTGTATATAAAAATGGCACATAAGGGATCACATATAATGATGTGGTGAAAAAAAATGAATGAAAAAATTGACTGTATCTTAAACTGACACATGACATTATGTAACATATTATGTAAAGTTTGATGTACATGTAGCAAATTTTTTTTTTTTTATTTAGTTGAAATTTTTTTGACTCAATCATATCTCATCAGATGTGTATGTAAACTACACATAAACAATTTAACCTACATGGATTTATATTGATTGCACAGCATATACTTATCTCTCGATTTCTTACCATTATCGCTCAATATCGCCACCGTCAATCTCAAACAACACTATAAATAATATCACCTAAAAATTACAAAATGAAACCTAGAAATCAATTGGCAGAGGCAAAGATTCTGATTTAATGGCATTCACATCCCAGTCCAGTATCTTCCCCCAAATCCTTAATGGCATTCACATTCACATTCACATTCACAACAGTATCTTCCTCAATCTTTTCTGTAACATTCTCTCATATGTTGTCAATGTAAAATTCAAGAGAAATTTAATTGAGAGAAAATTTAATTCGGATCGTGGACAGTGGATTCCTCTTCTCCTTTTTGACCCCCCAATGGCAAAACCATGGTCTGACCCACCTGCACCAAACCTAAATCGGATGAAAATCAATAGCCGAACAAAAAAGAGAAAGGCAATCAAATCCCTCAAAACAACACATTTCTTGATTACAGATTGATGGTAATCAAAACTTTTGTTGCAAATTGTTGGGGATCCTAGAAGTTCAATCAACCAAAACATCAAACAATAGAAGAAATTTTAAGGCAAAACAATGAAAAAAAAAAGATGGAAAAATACAACCTGTCTTTGGCCGAATCTGGACAGATTTTGCTTCTTCCTTGCAGCAGCTTCTTCTCCTCCTTATGGCTGTTTTTCCAGGCTCAGGAACAGCCCTCCATGACTTTCAAATCACCTTCCAAGAGAGGGGAAAAACCGGCAAAGAACCCATCACCTTCAACTGAAAATCGAGAGCCACTAGAGCAAACGAGAGGGAGTCGACTTATGAAGGGAAGAAAAGGAAAGACCCATCCCTCTGCCAAAAACGTGGGGAGCCATATTGTGTCACCATCAATACCATCAAGTCACAACATCTCCGTCAAGATTAAATCTCGGCCGTCGATCTTCATCCAATGGTCCACAAAAAAAATTGAATAAATGGAGTTAAGAGAACCATAT